GAGGAAAGACTGTGGGAAAAGAAGCCTGTGGGGAATAGTGACAGGGAAACAACACTGATTAATTTCGGCATATGATAATTTTCCTTTTGCATACCTACAGAAGTAACCAGGGGAGAAAGCAGGTGGCAGACATCAGACAGTTTATCTGATAGTTGCTGCTGCCAATTCAGTTTCTGATTCATTATGGCCTTTAAGGAAGAGTTTACTCTTGGAAAACAGATATTTGACTTTTAATTTCATTTTAATTAATTCATTCATTTGCTCAGCATATTTATTAAGAAGCCGCTATGTGTTAGACATTGTACCAGGATAAGAAATTGGCTGCACTCATAAGATATCACCAACTTGTCTCTAAATTCCACACGCCTTTGATCTATTTAGTCAAAATTTTTCCACAAATTCTTAAATCCAAGATGTCTGCTTCGAACACAATCTAAATTCATCCTTAATACAATTTGAAAACCTCTGCCACCCCCTTCCCCATAGAAGAACAGCTAACAGAAGGGAGAGAAGATGGGGAGGGTTCAGGGGCATGAAAATAGTACATTCATGAAGACGGTCTTGAAAAGTAGCATCTCCAGCTATAATTGCCAAGGCCACAATCTATTGACATTGGAGTTATTTATAGGAGGTGTCTTAGTCTGTTTGTGCTGCTATAACAAAATACCTGAGACTGGGAAATTTATAAACAACAGAAATTTATTTCTCATGGTTCTGAAGGCTGGGAAGTCCAAGATCAAGGTGCCAGCAGGCTTGGTGTCTGGTGAAGACCTGTTCCTCATATATGGCACTAAGTATCCTTATGTGGCAGAGAGGGGAAGAGCAAAAGGGCTCAGGCTAGTTCCCTCCAGCCCTTTTAGGGCACTAATCCATTCATGAGGGTGGAGTCCTCTGGACTTAATCACTTCCCCAAATACCATCACAATGGAGATTTAAGTTTTAACATGAATTTTGGAGGGGACAAACATCCAAGCCATATAGGAAACAATGTGAAATATGCCAAAGGATGGCATCCTCTACATGCTTACAGACACTGTACCTCTGCCATCCCAGGTCAGAGTTTCAGGCTTATTCCCCATGATATTAGGGCCTGCCTTCATCTTGCTCATCCCCATCCCCACTTCAAAGTATTCCTTAAATTGAACTTAATTTATCTTTTCTTGGCATTCACATAAATTGCCGAAGTCAATAATAGAAACAATAACCACACACACAGGAAAAACAAAAACAAAACCAAACAAAATCATTACTTAACTAGCTCACAGAATGGGAAATCAAGAGGTAGGGTGAAGTTCAAGGTTGATTGATCCACTTGTTTGATTATATAATTAAAACCACAGGTTCTTTGCATCTTATTTCTCTGCCATTCATAGCTTCACCTCAATGCTGGTCATTGGATAATTGACAATTGTAACTGTCACTGCATGCTTCTTTGTTCACAGGCTATAACAGGGCAAATCTATCATCCTATTGCCTTTTTTAAAAGTGAAGAAACATTTTTTTGGAGTTTACAAAAAAGAAACTTACTGTTCATCACCATATGTGGCCATATATTTATCCTGAACAATGCAGGCATCAAAGGAATTCCAAAAGATATTCTCAAAGTTACAGCTAGAACAAAAACATTTGAAAAAGTTAATACATTTGAATAATGAAAAGGAGGGAACATTAAAAAACCTAGATTAGTTTAATGGTATTCTCTGGTATAATTCTCAGAGAGTTGGTTTGTAAGATTAAGAAAGGAATGCAATAGAGATATTAAAAAATTCCGCTTATATTTTTGGATAAACTTATTCAATTTGTAGGTTTAGGGGATGATATAGGTTTAATATTTTTGACTTCTGTAAAGCATTGGATAAATTTTCCCCCTGACCTTTATTTTGATATGGATAGAATGAGGAAATGGCGATTAGATTCTATAAAGTTAAAGGAATCTCTCTCTTTTTTTTTTTTTAACAAAGATCATGGACAAATGACTTTTTTAGCCTATAGAGTTGCCTCCTTTGAAGGTGAACAGAGCTTGGTCCTTCCTTGATCAACATTTTTCCAATAACTTGAATTAAGCCATAGGAAGTCTATGAGGGAAAATTACATAATAAATAACAGAATCAAGATTCAAAGTTTCAAGATCTCAATAGGCTAGAATGATAGGACAAAAATCAATAAGAAATGCTTAACAGGAATAAATGGAAAGACCTGTTTTTAGGTTAAAATTATACAAATAATGTAGAACTATGAAGACAGAATGCATAATAATATGATGATGCACTAAAAGCAAACATACTTCAATTTGGATTTTCCCCTCCAAACTTTTCCGTCAACCCCCCACACAATAAAATAATGTCCTGTGTACAAGAGACATCTAAAAAAAGGGATTCAGAATGAGTAAAATAGTGGGCATATTTATAACTTTGCAAGTAAAATATGGACAGTTTATAATGGAAATGGGTACAATTTTCGATAAAGAGCTTTCATGGGCCAGGTGTGGTGGCTCATGCCTGGAATCCTAGCACTCTGGGAGACCGGGATGGGAGGACCACTTGAGATCAGGAGTTGAAGACCAGCCTGAGCAAAAGTGAGACCCCCGCTTCTCTACTAAAAATAAAAAAAATTAGCTGGGTATGGTGGCATGTGCCTGTAGTACTAACTACTCAGGAGGCTGAGGCAGAAGGTTGCTGCGAGCTAGGCTGATGCCACAGCACTCTAACCCAGGCAACAGAGCCAGACTCTGTCTAAAAAAAAAAAAAAAAAAAAAAAAAAAAATTCTCATAGTTTTTTTAGGCATTAGATTAAAGTAGATTAAAAAATCAATAAGAAAGCAAAACTAAAACTTTAGGAATGCAGGGAAATTAATGGCAGTAGGCTTTCACCTAGCTCTCTCCACCTCTGACCCTCTGCCTGAAGGAGACAAGTTAGGATATAGATTATGTGAACAGCATAATTAACAAGGTAATACCAATAGGTATATATCCAACTTATATGCTTAAATCAAAATTTGCAACTTTCTTTTCATTGACCATGAAGTATTGATAAAATTGACCACATACCAGTTCACCAAGAAAACCTCAATACCTTTCAAAAATTAGAAATATATAATACATGTTTTTACAATATTTGGGAAAATTCTTACTAGATTAATATGATGCATCTTCTTGCACATTACTTTTACTTGATAGTACAAGTAATCTAAATGATTATTTTTATATTAAAATATGTATGGGATATATAGAATAAAACATAAAAGTTATACAAATTTTTAAAGATAAAGAAAATTTTAATGTGATGACATTGAGCTGTCTCCTTTCTACCTAATCCTTTATTTCTCTCTGCTCTTAGGGGTATTGGGCCCAAAACTTTGAGAAAATTTGAGAGTATTTCTTTTCACAGTTGAGTGAAATTTAGTCAGTGTATCTCTACTAAGGTGGAGTTAATAGACCTAAAGTGTTTTCCCCTTCTCCAACTTTCACACAGGCAATTAATGAATACTGGCCTATTCTAGACCCAGAGGAATTTCTCTTATAACGGCATTGAAAGCCCTGGGTCAGGTTTTTAGAGGAAGATTTTTAGAAAGCAGGTATGTCCTAATTTTCCTCAGGGCAAAAGAAACTGCCCAGTCAGCTACACTCTGAGCTTCTCTGGGTAAAGACTGTGTTTTATATGCTTTTGTATCCCTAGTGCTTGGCTGAAGGCTTGGCCCATAGTAGGTGCTCTTTAAATGCTTATTGGATACATAGCATAAACTTCCTCTTACCTGTTGGCAAGTAACATGGATTTAAGTATATTGCACTTTTCCTGTTCTACCGTGGCTCAGCCACAATCAACCTTTAGGGCACTGGTTGGGGGAACATTTTCACTCCTAAGGAAAAACATCAGTGTATTCTCATGTGCTCTATTTTGGCCTGCACTGTACAGCTAGGGTTGCCTTTCTCACTGGTGTCCGGAGGATTCTGAGTGGAAGGTAAGTGGGAGGGTGCCTGTGGCCCTCTCTAGCTTGCAGCAGGAATTCAAGAATGGATTTGACATCCCCTGTTCACTTTTGCCTCCTTTGTTTCTTCTAGGTGTGATAAAAGTTCAACAGGGAAAAGAGGGAAGGACTAGTGATATCATTTAAGAAAAGGATGATTGGAATGCATCCCAAAGCTACCTATCTCCAAACATTCTGTCCTGCAGGCAAGGCCAACAAGTAAAATGCAAGGAGGAAGTGGTCAACAGCCTCCAAGGATGAGCAGAGGGAAAAACCTGAAGAAAAGTTGTGTCCCTTAGAAAATTATGTGTGAATATTGTCAACTAAGTTTAAAACACCATTCAAAAGAAACTATTAATAATTTGAGAATTATTTTATTAAGAAATACAGTGTCAATTACAAAGGACATGTACATTTTCAAAAGTGCCCACAAAATAAATTAAAAATACATTCTGTAAATGTAAAAAAATATATATTGTAGATATAACAAAGGTACTTCTTCAGGATCTACTTGCATGTATCACTTGTCTTAAAATACTTGCCTTAAAATACATTCACAATGTCTTGCTTGAAAATTATTTCAAATTGCTTCATTATATTTATAACATTTATGTACACTCTTTTGCTTTTATTTTCTTCTTTTGTAACTTTTTAGTACGACAACACAAGTGTCATTACATGTAGAAGAAATGCCTACCTTTTAAACAGAGTTTTAGATGCTATCATCGGGTTCAACATTTTTCCTTCTTCAAGGGAGAAAGTTCTCCTTCTACTACACTTTTAGATTTTTCCCTGGAGTAAGGTTTATACAATTCCAGCTGAGAATTACCACCATTAGTCATTCATCAATGTTATAGAAGTTTCCCCAGTATTGAAGGGGTAGTACTTCTCCTGCATTATAAACTTACATTAAAAAATAAAAGTTTACGAAAATAAGTTAAGAAACCCTTATGTAGTTAAAAAACAAACATTGGTGGTGTTTTAAATGTCACAGTTAGAGTTAATGTTCCATCTACTTAACAAAGATGACTGACTTTCATGCTGAGAGATATGGCTGTAATAAAGACTGTTTATTTTGTTTCCGAAAAGATCGACAAAAACGACCCCACAATCCTAGTAATTGTGAGACTTGTTCCAGGCATTTATTTGTTGTGACTTCTCTTTTCTTTCTTTTCTCCACTGCCTGGGCATTATTTATCTGCAGAATAGGAGAATTAATAGTCAAAATTAATTTTCACACTCTTTAACAACAGTTGAGTGCAGGTTATGTTGCCTGTTCTATGCAAATCCATCTCTCAGTGTGTCCCCAAAGCACCTGCTTACCATATGCTACCATGTGCTTTTTACAGAGGAATGCTCTGCTTCTCTCTATCCACCTACTCTTGCCCCAAGGCCAAACACCACCTCCTTCACAAAGCCTCTGCTAATTGCTCAGACCTTTTCTTTCAGTAAGTCTTCAGAGTGTGTGTCATTTAACTTTGGCTCTCACATGTTGTTCTTAATACTGCATCATGGGTATTCCCCACAGTGCTGAGCACAGTGTCTTATATATAGGAAACACTGGATGTTTATTGAATGATGAAATAAATGAATAAATTGCTGATTTCATGATCTCTTTGACAAGATCATAAGTTCCTCATGGGCAGGACCTAACTTGCACCTCTTTATAGACATAGTTCAGTAAACCTAGTCTATTATTTGGACCCAAAGTGCTCCTGTCCCTGTGCTCACCATCTAGATGTTCACCATCTAGACATTTCACAGACACCCGAGGGTATATTCTAAAGAGGATTCTGGTGTATTCTTTTACCTGAATTACCTTTGAGTAGTGACAGACTGGGGGTCCTAGACACACAGTATTCAGATTGACAAAGTCACTACGTTACTAAGCAAAAATTTTACATTCTAAAATCTGTTAAATCATAATTATTATAGGGCTTAGACTCCTCTTTAGGGCTTGAGAGAGGACTGAAATAAATTTCTCCAGATTCCCCTTTTTCTGACATGCTGTCCAAGAACTAGATTTAGCCTATTCTCTGTGCTTTTCTCATATGAATGACTTTTATCCTGATCATCTGTAGATTTGGCAGGGTCTCCTTGATAAGAAGGCATAGAGCCAAACAGGTTTCTCATCGGCTACCTGGTATTGAGTTTCTAACTCAAGCTCAACCCAGATCAGCCTTATGGCTTCAGTTTCTGACCCCTAAAAGGTGACAGTCTTGGCCACCTAGACACTCAGATTGCAGAGTAATAAAGTCCACCTGGTTAATAAACAGCAATTATACATATCTGCACTTGTTTCTCTTTATCTTTCTTAAACTTGTCATCATGAAGATAAATTCTCTGCTTCACTTGCCAATAAAACAAATATTTATGAAGCACTGGTTGTATGCCAGCTACTGTTACAACTGCTTCTACATGTATTGACTCATTTAATTCTCATAAACATCCTACATAAGACTTACTAATATGATACCCATTTTGCCCATGAAGCCAAGACACACCAAAGTATGTCATTTATCCAAATCTTTGCAGTTAGAAGTTATAGGCTAGGATACAAAGTCAGGCAGGCTGTCTCCAGAGTTTCTACTAACTCTCCACTATACTACCTATTTCCATATTTAAAGTTACACATTCATTCAAATGCATATAATTTCATGTGCAAAAATCTATTATATGAAGAGAGAGCAATAGCTCCCGTACAGGCAATTAAGCAAACATAAGGTAGAGACTTTACACATAATATAACATTTTAGGAAGCATACAGTCATTAAGTGATAAGCCCAAGCAGTGTCGTTCAGACTTTGGAATGGACAAGAACCTCTTAAGGAGCCTCATACTCTGAGATTTTGCTTTTGAAAGTCTGGGTTGGAACTCTGCGAACTGGCATTTTTGAGCGGTCATCTTCCCATACTCTAGCAGTCAGGACATTCTGATGATGTACAATGCTCAGTGATCATACCCTGAAACACTGACCTAAGGTTTAGAACCAGAATTCAGCCAAAACAGAATCAGACCCCTAGAAAAAGGCGAGTTTGAGTCCAGGTGTCAACGCGGAACTAACTGACAACCTACAGTTTTTATCTGGCTCATTTGCTCTTCAAAAGATAAAACCTGAATAAAAATCAGAGAAAGCCTTCTGCACCAAAGCCCCCGTTTAATTGAAGATTAGCTTCAAGGTGTCACAAAGCGAGCAGCCAAGGCGTCGGGCTTACCTGAATTCTCGAATAGCCTGGGCACTGGAGAGCGAAGGTAGCGTTAGTTCTCAGCGCAAACTCTTCCTTGGCGAGGGACGTGCAGCCGTGGGTGGGACTGAAGGTTATGCGCTGGATTTTAGTGAGGCAATCTGGCTGCTCACAGGAGCAAAGTTTACGAGAAAAGGAGAAAACGCCAGAAAGAAAAAGAAAGGAGAGAGCGTTGTTATGACTGAGTGAAGAGCGCAGCGAGGGAGGTGGGGCAGGAGCGGGAGGCACGACGAAGACGTCCGCAGCAAGAGCGAGGAGGTCGCGGCCGAGGTGAGGGCGGAGCAGGAGGGCGACGCGAGAGTAGCCGGGGGCGCTGGCCGCGGAGGGTCGTCACCGCGCTCGCTCCGCCCCAGCTCCCCGCCCCGAGGCTGCTAAAAGCCGGCGCCAGGCGCTGAGGCTCCGGGCAGGTGGTGCCCCTGACGTCCTTCCCTGGTCCCAGTTCCCGATTTGCCTTTCCTTCGGGGGGAGAGGAGGAAGCCTCTCCCGGAATCCCGTTCTATCCGGACAGAGACTTCCTCCCCCTAAGTTGGAACAAAAGTGGCGTCCCAAGCCGGGAGCAGCCCCGCGCGCTGGTAGCCCAGATGTCCTCCTGCCCCGCCGGCGTCGCTCCAGAGCCTAGCCCTTTGCCCGGGGTCCTACACACCGCGGCATACCCTCTCCCCTGCTTTCTGGAGGAAGTCAGCAGCGCTGACCACTCTACTTACCTGGTTGTTACAGGAGATGGTGCTGTTGAACTGGGTGCTTTTGGACTAAAAGAAAGAAAGAGGGGGGAAAAAACACAGCAAGAAGGATAAAAACTCTTAAGTCCACGTGTAAGATCACTCCCCTGCCCTGGCTCCCAGGCTTTAAAGGTGCTCAGTTAGCAGTTTCTGGTTAGGTACCTGTTTCCTATGTCATTGACAAGGCAGTGAAATAGTTAGTTTTTATATGGTGCTGGCTAGTGTTTGAAACTGGACGTCAAAAGACCTCAGAGAGAGCCCTCCCTCCTTCCCTCCCTCGAACAGGGACACCTGCACACAGCACTAGGCATGTGAGCAATAATGCCATTCTTTGGGTGCCGACATGTGCCCTGTAGCCATTCATGCATGCAAACTCTATCTAGAAATTAGAATAATCAGGAAAATGATTTCTACTGTATACTAAGAAGTCCAAAGTACACCATATCCTGTAATAGCAACCTGAAACATCTAGAACACTAGGAAGACCTGAAGCACAGCTTCATTCCTTAGCTGTGCTCACCCCATATGGCTTAGCTCACAAGAATTCCTCTTTCTTATTCTTTCTTCCTAAAGCCCTCGTCCCCACTGTCCTTTTACTGCATAGTCAGAGCAGCAGTTTAGCGGAAGGTAGACTCCCTTGTTGCATGATGTGCTACCTATTGATACCCGCTCCTCATCAGCATCTGCACACTTACAATGTGCCAATTTCTAGATAGTCATTTTAGATGCCAATATATTTGAATATCATGTGTAAATATTTCTGACAAAATGCTGGACCATGATTTTTTTCCAAATTATTTTTCTTTTCTAGAAAGTTAAATTGTAGTTTAAGTGCATGTATGCCTACCCTTCTGATGAGAATACATTTGTTTAAAAAAATGTTTCTTCACTTACCCCATTCATGTATTCCTTCAGGTCATCATAAATAGTTTTCTGATATTTCTGTTTAATCTTCTCAAAGTCACAGTTAGTGAAGTCGTAGGTTAGCACCAGCCCTACCAGTTGCAAGATGAAGATCTTCCTGAAAAAAGCTGACAGAACAAATAGTAAGGCATCAGGGAATATATTTGGAAAGCCAATTCCACCCCAGTTTCACACTAAACTTGTCCCACCAAGACTGCACTGTGTCTAGATCGGCAAGGCCTGCCTTACGGGCCAGCGCTCAGGCACCCGTCTTTGCCTCTCATTCCCGGTACACAGGAGGCCCATATTCACCCATGCTGTTGCCTTAAGTGGGAGTCTCCCTGATGCTCCAGAGCTTTCTGGCTCCACATATATAACACCTAAACGCCTACGGGCTCTTTTCTCCTAGGCCAATGATTTTCTTCCATGTCATTCTCTTCCTTTATAGAATTCTGAATTGATGATGTGAAAGAAAAAAATTAGGACTAGCCAAATCTATGGAATTTTAACATTAGTAAAATTATCAGGAATTTCTCTGACCTTCCTTCTTTTTTCTTTGCCCTAAACCCTTAATATGTGTTTTAAGAAATGGATACCAGCTTCTTTTCTGCTACAGGGTGATTTCCACGACCAACATTTTCTCCTTAGGAAAAATACCTTAAGAAACCAGCAGCTCTCTAAGGAGTTGGTACCTCTGCCTGTGCATCCTGAACACCTCTGAGCGTTTCCTTTGGCCACTTTGGACTAGCGTTTTACCTCCTTTTTGGCTATTGAGAAATGCATGTGCTTCCTTACAGGATGCTTTGGAGGGTGGGTGAAGCTTCAGGCCTGGATAGTGCTTCCACGTGAGAGCATTAAATGTGCGATCATGCCCAGATCCTTAGGGGAAGGAACGATAAGAGCTTGAAATGAATCGGGAAAGTTCTGATGGGCGTCCTCAAAAACCCTCACCATCAAACTGGTATTAACTGATCAACACATAAATGCACATATAAGAATAA